GCTTTTATTGCTGGGTTCCTATTGCTTCCCTGAGTTATATAGTCTTACAGTGCTATAATAGTCTAGTTAAGCAGGCATGCAATTGCTTCTTTAATAGATTGGTGCCATGTCCTAACTGGTCAGATATCAGAATGAAGTAGTTAGCCATGGTAGTCTGAAATCAGACAGAAAGCAGGATAGATATGCACCTTACAGACCTAACTAAATAAGAGAGATATATAGCACAAGCTCTTGTGAACTCAGGTTCACTTCATCAGATGCTATGAAAGGACATCATAGAGCAATATATGAAGTGGAGTGAGAGATTTTAATATAAAAGGTGGGAAAAAGGGAGAGGGAGGAGAGGAGAGAAGAACAGTGCTGGAAGAAGCAAACATGCAAAAAATCCATAGGAACAAAGGCATCACAAAAACTAATCCAGGTAATGGGATAGTACTACATAATCCCTGTTTAAGCCATACCTAACACAAACCAGTCTTAGTTCCACAATTTTCTTGTTCTATAATTTTCCATTCAAACCAGTTTTTAGAATTTTGCTGTATGAACAAATCACTCATTCTACACACTGCTCTATGTTGTCCTTTCTAAGTGAATCTGATGAAGTGAATTTGAAGTTCATGAAACTTTGTGTCACCACCCCCCCCCCAGTTAGTCAATAGGTTTCATATATAAGAATAACAAAGACAGGAAGGGAGGAGTGCTTTCCTCGTTAAATGTTTGTTGCATGTGAATTTTTAGGATAATTATTGAGCCTAAATCATGCATAAATACTATGGGCCAAATTTTCCTCTTACCTATATTGGTGTCAACTGAGATTATTTCCACTGATTCTAACAATTCTAAGTCAACCAATTTATCCAACAGAGGGCAGCGCTGTACACAAACACATACTATTAGCTCATCATGTATATTGTTTTAAAAATCAATTCCTGTGCAATAACTTGTGCTCATTAATACATTTTTATGACAGCTCTTAAGCATAAGGCTTCTGTAGTTTTAGTTAGTATACCACGATATACTACTACTTTAAAAACTTAGTTTGAAAGTGAGTAGCCCAACATTCTTTATCATCATTCCCAATTATTTCTGAATATTCACCTTACTTTTCTAGAAAGCTTCCCTAAACGTAAATATCCTTGCTGCATTAATGGGTATGCCAAAAATCCATATAAAATAAATTGCGTTTGTTATAAAACCATTGTATGATGGTAGTATTCAACCTTGAAGTGAGCTTCGGAGAAAAAGTGATGGATGATAATGAAATTGAATTACAAAATGGACGTTTACTTATGGAATACAGAATAGAAGTCAATATTTTAATTTCTTGGTGATCCTCCTCATTCTTAGTAGTGCTGGTTGTACAGCAGGATGTAGCACTGCTTTGAGAGAGAGAGTATTCCTCGATGCACATTGTGTTTATCTAGTCAACTTCATGCCATTGTATTATTTATATTGTGGTGTTACCTAGGAACCCCAGTCACGGAGAAGGACTCTATTGTTGGACTAATTGAATAAAACAAGGGTTAGTGAATTTTTTTTTAAGAAACTGCATATATTTACACTGTTTCATAATAAAAGAATCAATTTAAGATTTGGTGGCTATTTAATATTGCATTGCATATTCAGGAATACAACAGGAAGCATTGTGTTGTTTTCAGTCATGTCAACATTAGGTAACTACTTTCTTCTGTAAAAGGCAATTTCAGAAATAAAATACATAGTATTTTTAGGCTGTAACTCCAGGAACCTGATTTACAAAAAATATATGTAAATAAATTTAACATTCCACTAGAACCCAATAAAACAACAAAAACATAGGTTAATATCACAAATCTAGACACAGCTGGACAGCTCTTTGCATCAAGATGAGAGAGACTATTTTTAACTAAAAATCTACTGGATTATACCACCACTTTCATTCTCCTTCCAACTGTATCCCTGCTAAAAAGAGGCTCCTCATCAATATTTGCTGTTTTCTTCTGTGGCTTGATTTAAATGAGGTTTAAAGTTTGTTTCCTCCTTTATAATTTATGCTCAGGGACAGATACATTTTACAGGTTTTCTGCAAAACCACCACTTAGCATTCTAAGTCTCAAGGTGTTTTTAAAGTGTGTGAATGTCAGAGAATACACATTATACAGAAGGTTTCTGGGATTACTTAATTGAATAACACTAATAAATAATTCTGTTTCCTTTCCTCATCTTGACAGCCAGAGCCAAAGGGGATTAACTCTTTGTGTTACACTTGTCCTTATCCAGGTTGGCTCAAAAAGGTAAAGAAGAAACAGAATCTAACTATATCAGCTGGTGCCATCAATGTCCCTTCTGTCTCAAACGCTTCCCGCTGATTCCCTCTCCTTATTATTTATCTATATGGGTTCTTACAAGGCTGTCATCAGTATCTTGAGTGCCTTCCAGTAGTCTAGTCTGTCCTATGAGAACGTATGATTTGAATGCATGTCTAATCTTCACTTTTCAGAGACAAGGTATGTGCAGTATAGGATCGTCTGGATTTTTTAGCATACCAGTTATGTGTTTATGGTAACGGAGTGATTCTTAACCTGGGTGTCAGGGCAGTCTGGTGTGCTGTGAGATCCTCTGAAGGGTGCCCTGAGGTGTAAGGGGGTAAGCAAAGAAGTGCAAGCTCAGGCTTGTCCCTGCCTGGCCTCTCTGTAAGGAGGCGAGCACTGTAATATATGTTAGTTTTTGGAATTGGGTGCTGCTTAATTCACAAAGTAATGGAAGGGAAGCGGGGGTTGGAGGCCAAAAAAGTTGAGAAACACTGTGCTAGAGAAAGCAGGTCACCGAAATCTGCTGTGGTTTTGGAGCAGGAGGTTGCGAGGCGTGCAATGGTCCTCAGGTCCTGAAGAAATGCATTTTGCAGGTTTTGGACTATTCCCCCCAGAAAGCTCCCTCCTGATCTGCATCATACGGAGGGAGGTTCATGGGGCGAGCGCAGTGACTCTCAACCGGGGCTCAGGAAATCTTGGGGTACCCCCCCCCCCGCTCATGTGAAGGGTTAGGGTTAGAGAAGGTAAGAGAGGTGTTATTAGGAGACAAGCTGATAGACTATGCAGCTAAGCACAGGCTCCTTCCCCCATCCCCACTGCCCGGCCCCTCTGCAAGGAAGCAAACCCTGTCATGCAGAAGACTGTTTTGGAAATGGGGTGCCACCCAATTCATTGAATTTACGGAGGGGGACCCAGTCCAAGGAAGGGGTCTTGCGCGTGAGAAGGGGGTCTGGAGTCCAAGGAGGTGGGGCTCGAGTATGAGAGGGGAGTCTCAAGTCCAAGCAGCACGGCCTCAAGCCCGGGGGCTGCCCTTCAACCCGGGCAGCCTGGAGGGCGGGGCGGGGCCTTCCGGCTTGGGCGGCCCC